TGTACTGAGAGATGGAATATTACACTTTGGAGATCAAAGATATCTGTTAATGTAGAATGACGAAGAATGCACGAGGTATGAACGGAGAAAACATTTAGTTTGATCCTTCTAAGATAGTATTATACCGGCCTACAACGATATTAGCCCATTATGCAACTCGTTAGTAATATATACTATTTGAGATCCCACGTTCTATGGGTCAGTTCCCATTGAGAACACAAATATCCGAAGAAACCCATAAAAAAAGAAACAGGCGATCATTGCAAAAAACATTCACTTGTTATCAAATTCTTTGTTCTATGCATTGGACAGTTTTCTTTTCCTTTTGAGTACTCGTCAGCAGCGCGTACATTTTGAGACCCTAACTCTTCGGATGGGGAGTTGACTACACACTGTTCGCTAATCCCAACAACAAAGACAAAATAGCTGACCGCAACTATTTTTCGACCATTCTGAAAGAACTTCATCGTTAGCCGAGTACATCCAAACCTGAAGGGGCTATCGAATTCCCATGAATTGAAACCCACACCTAAGATCAAACAGTGAAAAAATCGAATGGGTCAATCTAGAAGCAAGATGCTCGGAGTAGAAATTACACTCGACTAGATTGCACGTTCAAAGTGCTGCTCTGTGCCTACCAGTGTTTATCGAAGAACGAAACTTACTACCTCTGGGATTGAGTTCACTTCTTCCTTCTTACCTCCCCCCGNNCCCCCCCCCCACCACCTTCTCTAAGAGTTTCTACAGGTACAGTAGGATCACTGGAATTTTTCTTTCTGATTTGTATTATTATGGGGTCTTAGACATTTTGGAGGCCCAGCTTCATCGATAGAAACGATTGATGTGCACCAATCATTCTGTGCGTTTGTTAAGTGTTAACCAGAAGTTCTAATTAGGATGTGAAGTATTCGTGGTTCTTTAGTGGCTAGAGTTGAGTCATTTGGAATCTGTGCCAGTTCATTTCATAGTCGTACTCACATTAGCTTAACCGAGAAGTTTTGGTCCTGTTCAATACTGCATGGTCTACGACTTACAATTCAATGAACCAAGACCTGTTGACTCCCGTATAAACGGTTGCCAATAGCACTTAAAATCACTTATGACCCACACATGTAAGCAACCAAACTAATCCATATTTTGCGGTTGGAGTAGCACACG